TAGTCCTACATTAACAAAAGCAGTCACAGAAAATATGAAAGGTTCTAGTTCCTCTTGGTCATACCTGCATAAGAGATTTCCACCTTAGTTTTATAAACTGACAAGAAACTGAATACCTATAATAAGAGAATCCTGTCTCAAAATTTACAAAGATTCATCATCACAAAAGACTGGACAACCTAAATACAGCCATGGTCTCACCTGCATACACCACTGAAACAATACATCCCAGGTAACGCATACAGTACATGTTCTCCAGAGCTATCCCACGATAAATTACTACAGATGCCTCATCAAAATTATGACTGAGGGAGAAGCTTGCTCTCTTGGATTCTTCTCCACCACAATACAGGTCAGTGAGATGAAATCTCTTCTCGTTTTTCCATTTTAAAAACCATCACCATTAAATCAAACAAAGATGAGACTGAACTGCAGTTTATATGCACTGTGCTGCAGCACGCTGAGCCAGCAATACCAGTGCTGCTGCTGCTGCTTGCAGTTCAGCTGTGAATTGCATGGTCTGTGCTAACAGATTCAGCAACACTAGCTGCAGCACTTAACTATTGCATGCTATATATCACATATTGCCCTACAAAATACAGTGTGGGTAGGAATTAAGTATTTTTCAGATACCAAACCCAATAGGTATCAAGTATTTTTCAGATAAGTATTCTGAACATTGTGCTTATCATGGTTTACCATAGACATCTCTTCTACCATATGCCTTTGCACCTATCTCACTTACAAGGCCTTACTATGGCTGTAAGCCTGATGTTTTCAATATTAGTAGTTGGAACAATACGTAGGCGTTTTGATTATACACACGCAGACCCTCTCTGAAAAAGCACAGATCACAGAATATATACAAACCAGGAATGTAAAATGCTGCCTGTGTAAAAATGTGCCCAATGCTCATGCTCACTTTAAATCAGATGAGTGAAGCAGCAACTGTAGCATGATTTTATCTCCACATGTAAAATTACTGTTCATGGTAACACTGAAAGGAAAGCCATAATTAGAACATGGTAACAAAGAGATCTGAGCAGGTCCAGAGGGCATACACAACTCCCCCTGGAAATTAAAAAAATTCACACTGCACTCTGCTTCAAAACAAATAGTCAAGTTATCTGAAGGAAGTTAACAAAAGCTGTAGTCCACTTTGCATAACATTTGAATAAAATGTTGATCTAATCATTAAAAAGGAGGATGAATATTTGGAATCTTTAATTGTTTCTATGAACAGTGGATGATGTGATGAAAGGTGTAACAACTCCAGAGGACAAGTGACAAGGAAGAGCAGTGACTTTTACTAGGTGATAAAAAGATCCATATTTTTGAAGATTTTTACCTCATGCCCTTAAAAAGAACTGTTATTGGATTTTAGTCTCCTAGTGTTTCTTTCTTACAAAGCACCTATATGATAGATTTTACAAAGCAATGCAATTATTACAAATGAAGCAATTTTCACCGCTTATGTCTATTTTCCTAAGCTCATCCTCTTCATTAAATTGATAGAAACCACTTCTCCTCCTATTTGCATTTGAGAAGTCTAGGCATGGAAAATTCAGACTTTAAAATACCTTTGATGAATCAAAACTGAGTAGCAGTCTGAAATATGGCAAATGCTGAATTAAAGCTCTGAGTAGTTACTGGCAATTCTGTTTATCAGGTATTAACATCTTTGCAAAACACTAAATATAAACTCAAGGATACTACACTAACATTTCAAAGGCAGACAATTTCTGTCTGGTTCTGGTTAGTTTATTGTGTTTTCCTCAGCAAGATGTGAACCATGCTATATTTTAGGTGTTCAAAACAGATTAACAGAAATTATATTCCTAATATAAATGTAAAAAACACAGCTGGTTGAATATAGTATTGCATTCTTATGCTGTTTTATTAAAGTTTGCAGACAGTGCTGCAAAGCTTAAAGCTAATTGTTTCCCATGCTTTGCAAGTTTACCTATCTTAACTTGAATTTTATTCTGTCATGTTAATAATGTAAAATTGTTGTACTGATACCAGTACCTTACAACAGGACACAGGCCAGGGATGTTCTCATTAAAACAGAAGAATTGATTCAATGATCACAGAATGATTTAACGAACATCTTGGAACACACTGGTGCATTAAAAAATCCTAGGGTAGCAAACTTAACAGAACCACAATGTACTTCCTTCTCATTTCAAAACTGCATTTGACAAGTTGCTGTGTTTTTACAGCACAATACTCTCCCCCCATGAAAAGGCACAAAGAAGGGCAGTAAATTGTGAAAAGGTACTCAGAAGGCATAGGAAAAGGGATAAGAAAGCAATTCTGAAAAAGAGGACAAAATATAAGATGGAAGATGTTGAATACCAAAACCAGACTTGAAATCCTGAAAGCCAGATGCCACTTACACTTTCCAGAGCTGAGAACTGTAAACTTCACACTGCAATAAAACCCAAACTTGCATGTACATCAATGCACCTTCACACCCCATCCTCTTGACACCTACCCTTTACATATCTGCAAGTATTGATAAGATGCTCTTCCAGTCTTCTCCAGGCTAAACAGTCACCGGTCTTGCTGCCTTTCCTCATAAGAAATGCTCCAGTGCCCTAACCATCTTTGTAGTCCTCCACTGAACTCTCTGCAGTAGTTCCCTGTCTCTCTTGAACTGGGATCCCAGTACTGGACACAGTACTCTGGGTGTGACATCACTATGGCACAGCAGAAGGGCAGCAGATTCTCCTTTGACCTGCTGGTCACACTCTTAGTGAGCCCCAGCATACCGTTGGCTTTCCTGGACACAAGAGCACACTGCTGGTTCATGGATAACTTCTTGTCCGCCAGGACTTCTGGGTCCATCTCCATGGAGCTGCTTTCCAGCAGGTCAGCCCCTAACCTGTATGGGTGGGTGCTTGGGGGGTCACTCCTCCCAACGTGCAGGACTCTACCCTTGCCCTTGTTGAACTTCACTGGGTTCCTCTCTGCCTCGCTCTCCAGCTTGTCCAGGTCTCACTGGATGGCAGCTCAGCCTTCTGGTGTGTCAGCCCCTCCTCTGAGTTCTGTATCATCAGCAAACTTTCTGAGGGTACACTGTCCCTTCATCCACATCACTGACGAACATGTTGAACAAGACTGGACCCAGTACTGATCCTTTGGGAACACTACTAGTGGCAGACCCCCAGCCAGACTCTGTGCCACTGATCCCAGTTCTCTGAGCTCTGTTGTTCAGCCAGTTCTCAATCCACCTCACTGTCCACTCATCTAACCCACACTTCCTGAGCTTCCCTATGGGGATATTGTGGGATACATTGTTAAAAGCCTTCCTGAAGCTGAGAGAGAGAACACCCACTACTCTCCCCTCATCTACCCAGCTAGACACACCACCACAGAAGGCTATCAGACTGATCAAACATGATTTCCCTTTGCTGAATCCATGTTGACTACTCCTGATAACCTTCTTTTCTTGCTCTCGATTTCCTTGCTATGCTACTGTTACGCAGAGAACACAACACGAAGCCTTAGATCCTAAAATGTGTATTTGCACAAAATAGAATCTTTGTTTATTGCAAAGGGTTCTCCAAGGGTAGTTATCTGTTAGAATTTCTGTTATGATTACTCTTATTATTTCAGTTTAAATACTAGAATTGTACTATACTGTGTATATAGAGAAACTGCCTGAAGATTGGTCTTCAGTTTAATACCTAATACTGCATGCAAATGGGAATTTAAATTAAAAATCAGGTTCGTCTGTTTTTGTCTGTCGTACAGAATGTTTTACATTTCAGCTGAAAAAAGCATACTGCTTTTATATAGCATCTGCTGTTGGGCCATTTGAGATTAATTTGGCACAACTTTTGTAAATAACAGATTTATAATCAGATTTTCTTCACCAACTGGATGTTTTTAACTCTAGGTTCCAAGAATTCTCTTTGTGAGATTAAAAGAATGTTCTTTTATAAAATAATTAAAACCACTGAGGACCTTTTTTCAACTAGTAAGAATATTAATTGGGTTCACCATCAGAATGTGATAACATGTAAAATATCTTGTTTTGCATGTTAATGCTTCGTAATAGCACAGAGCTTTTCAACTTCAAAGCTCTTTACATGAATTAAGTAGATGTCCCTGAAGACCTTAGGCAAAATTTTCTTTGCTTTCAAAAAGAGATTTGCACCAGACAAAAGCTTTGTGAAAAATGCAAGACTACACTTTATGGTTTTAATTTCCCACTATCACACATGAGATAAAATACTACCATTTTGCAGATGGAGCAGTGGAAATAGGGGGGAACTGACTGGGTCTATCCCTGCTCATCTGAAAACTCTGTACTTCACCTTGGCTGTGGCATATTGAGAAAGAGAGAAACAAAATGCAAGATAATTCAGTTTTCCAAAAGGACATCAACATACCTTTCAATTATTTATTTACTTCCCTACCAAAGATCAAAGTACCTGAAAGTCCAGTGATTACCTCCTATTCCACCATTCCACACACAATGCCTTCATTCAAGCAGTCAGGCAGAGAAAAATGCATTTGCTAGAGTCCAGTCAAAAGCTGTTATCTGGTACTCCATTTTGCTTTGTCAAATGACATTTTAAAAGGTACTTGCTAAAAACAGGCAGTTTCCCAAAAAACAGGAGTAACGATTATTCCCTTATGTCAGACAGACTGAAATCCATCACAAATCACCACTTAGTATTTTCAAACTGAACTTTCTTTTCACTGTCTCAAAAACAACACTACAGATATGAAACGGCAAAAGACATTTACAACCTATGAGCTAAATCGTGAATATTTTTCCAGCATCCTTTGCTATAATGACATATTTTGGTGAGTACAAGTAAGATCAGCAAGCATTTCTTTTTGTACTTACCATGTAATTTTTATGCCACTTCACTGGACACAAGCAGTAACACATTGGGTCTTTTTATTGCTCAAGTAGAAAGTGCTTATTACCTACTTATGTTTATATATAGGAAAAAACAAAGGGTTGTTTCAAGTGGCATACATCACACTGTTGTAGTGGTTGATTTTCTTAAGATGGTCTTCTGGGGTTTTGGTGCAGTTTGTGGAGGCACAGTAGCAGGTCTCGGAGGAGGAAAGCTATTACTGGGACTTATCCCGAACCCTCCGTTTTCCAGAGGAAACGGAGGCAGCGGAGGTGGTGGTGGTGGAGGTGGTAAAAGAGGGCACTGGTGTGGCAGCTTTCCCACAACACGGACAGGCTCACTGTGCAAATGCACCTCCCTGTTTTTAATGTTATACCGAACATCACAGTCCGGACAATAGCCATGGTACTGCACTTTTTCACTAAATCGTACCCGTTCCCTTGCTCCTGGCTGAGGACACCGCTCTTTTTTCTCAGGTCTGTGCATCAGAGGGTGCATGGCAACTTTCTCCAAATTACTGTTCGGTATACAGCACATATCTCCGTTCGGGATGCGGTTGGGCCCAGCGGGCAAACCCCCATTTCGCAGTAGGGTGCCATTAGTCTTGAGAGGGTTGGCTGAAGGAGGCAACCTTGGAGGCTCGTCACACTTGACGGGCGTCAGTCGTGGCGGAGGCGGGGGTGGATTCGGCTTCCGCAGCACAGTGAGGATAGCTGAAGGGTGTGCAGGTGGCTTGATGAGTGGTGCACTACCCTGCACCTTGACTTTCTCCAGGCTGGAGGCTGTTGTGCTGCTGGAGCTGCTGTTGAGCGTGTCCGTTTTGGAACTGTCTGTCATCTCATCCTCCAGCTGGAGGTCGGACGTCAGCGTGTCAATCTGGTCAACCACCTGCACAACAGCCAGATTGAAAATTGTGAGAGAAGCCTGCCCCAGAGAAAGCACAGAAAAACAAAAGCACCCTCCACTAACAATTCTGTCCACCCCAGAACTAAAACATCCATGTTTTTTAAATTACTATTTCTTTTTTTCCTTCCAACATAATTAAAAAACAAACAAAAAAAATAGTAACAATATGGATGGCTAGTTTCCTAGCTCATCACCTGAATACTGAAGGAATATAACTTGAAACACTCTGGAATGAAATTCCAATTCTTTCCCTCTAGGGTTTACTTGGTAATATCATTGTAAGAGAACTGTAATCCTTCAGTGCCTTCCCTCCACCTTCCAGTGCAGGAGGAGACTGAATTATTTAACTTCAGCTTCTACATGACAGCTTCTGAATCCAAATCTTCTGCAGAGTATCTTTTAGCTCTCACTTTTCACACAGTCTAGTTTTAAATATGCCTATGTACAGATGATATACACCTACAATTGTAAGTTGGGTACACTTTTTTTCTGACAATTTTTTAACAAATAAAAGGTACTGATCAGGAACTTCTCTCTTGAATTAGACTGCATTGTCTCCCTTTATGAATTTTTTCCTTAAGACCTGAAATTCTCTGAAGCAATCCTGAAATAGCATCTGCTGCAAGAAAAGAGGACAGGCATTTATTAACTCATGTACTTTACTCCAAGATTTCCTCTACGTGCCATACTTCTGTTTGTGGTTTCTAAAATGTTAGATCTCTTCTAGTATTCCAGACTCCTTTTTCTACCCAGCTTTTTATATGGCATGCAACTGATTGTGCACTAACTTACTTAGTCAGCAAAAATTTGTCATCTGACAATTAAAAGCCCTCCCTGAAATGTGCATTTCACTAAGTACCTAGTTGAACAATTGTAGTTATAATCTACCGGTAACTACAACACACAATATTGGAACTAAGCACACATTTAAAAACGGATCTTTATCCCCTACGTCCTCACAGCATATACATAAAATAATCAGTAGCTCAAATGTTACTAGTTAACTCTGGTGCATGAATAAAAAGCTTTTGGCATTTTTTGGGATCCTTACGGGAGAGCTATGACATTCTGGAGGGAGATATATATCTGAAATGAAACTAGATGCTTCCAGTTGTGCTTCTGAATCAATCCTTTTTACCCTTTTGAGACTTTCATTTCTACTTCCTGCTTTCAATAATTTGATCCTAATACTATTGATTTCAAAGTAAGCCTATTTTTGAGGAGTAGAAAACATATGTTCACTGAAAAAAAAAAAAAAAAAAAGTCGAGACAGTAACTCACTTATGTGCACAGTGGTAAACAGTAAATAATGAAAGCAAAACTAGCATAGAATGAAAGAACACTTTAGCTTCCACTGTTCATGCTGTAGCTAAGAGCTGTGTAATATAAAATTCATAAAAATTTATATGCAAAATTCAGTTCAGTGTCTTCCTTCTACGCCACCAAACATGCAGACAATAATGAATCAGAGAGTTTTGAAACATCTTTGAAAAACATAATACTTTTTCTCTTCAAGACCAAAACAACTACTCATGTATTCATAATTCAAAGCCCAAACCCACGTTGTATTTAAGTTTTTATTTTAGCATTTTGATTTTTCCCCAACAAAGAAGAGAGAAACAATTATGTTCGTAAAAACAGGCACTAATCCACCCAGATAATCAGGATCTAAACCATTAGTCTAGAAATCGAAAGCTACAACTGAACTCTGGCAAATCAAATCCCAAACGTCTCCTCCAGGGTACACCATGTAACTACTCTCGGAAATTCCATAGGAAAGGCAGATAAACCATATCTTTAATAAGACAATGCACAACTCATAACAAGAATGACAGTACCCAGAAAAAGAACTCACATTATCTTCTACATGCAAACCAAGGCAGAGAGAACCTCTTTAAAGGAACAAGGAAAAGAGTCATTTTCTGGGCACTAAGCCTGAAATTCAAGCACCCCCCTGCAAATTTAGTATGGATTTGTGTAAATATTAGGGTCTGCCTACATATGACTAGTAACCTATTGAATCATCTCTTGGAATCCAATATATAATCTTTTAATAAAATATAATAGCTCCAGAATGGATTGACGCAACATAAATGAAAGAAACTCGCTGGCAAAAAAAGAAACAAAAAGAAAAGCCACTGAAACAGTTGCAGGCGAGAGAGAATGGAGAGACATATCTGTAAGGATGCTCAACACAGGAGCACTGCATAGCTTGTAGAGGTGACATTACATTGGCCTCTGTTACAGTATTAGACAATACTAAGTGACGATATTTGGTTGCTTCACATTGCTTAATAAGAGATATATAAAAATGCCAAGAACAAAAATTGGCTTCTTTTGCAATTGGCTTGCTCCAACAAAACTTATTTTTTCTTTTTCTACCATGATAGCCCCCTCAAAGGGTACCTATAGTTGTACAGGACCTTAAAAAACAACACTGCATATGAGAGGGAAAAGACAGCCAGGTACCACCGATGTATTTATTGCACAAATAGCTAGGGTTAAATATGATGGAGATTGCCCAAATAATATGGTGAATCTTCCTTTATCTTAATAAAATCACTCACAACTGCCAATTTTCCCACTAAAGAAGAAAATAAAATGAGAAAAAAAAATGCATGTTAATGTTATTTTAAGATATATATATACATCAACCAGAGAAAGTGCTATGCTGGACCTTGTTCTCA